ATCTGCTACCTGAACAAGAACAAGCGAGAGCTTCGGTTTTTCTTTGAAGATTCACAAAATACAGCCAGACAAAAGATTCAGTTCTTCTTTAGAAATGTCACATTTCATGACTTAACAAAGAGGGCCACTGATAAAGCAATGCAGAGTGAGAGAGGACATCTGGACCTGTTCCTGCGGTTTCTGATGGGCATTTCACTGGAATCCAGTCAGAACCTGCTCAAAGGCCTGATCAAACACACTCAAGACACCACAGAGAGCATCAGACAAACAACTGAATACATTAAAGAATTACAAAAACAGGACATCTCAGATGAAACTTCAGTCAACCTATTCTACTGCTTACTTGAGCTGAAAGATCATTCATTATATGAGGAAATCCAGAGTTACCTCAGTTCAGATGCACATCCAGGAAGAGACCTCTCATCTTCAATGTGCACAGTGTTGACCTACATACTGCTGATGTCAGAGAAGGTGCTGGATCAGTTCAACCCAAAGAGGTTCACGTCATCACGAGCAGACTACAGGAGACTCATTCCAGCTGTGAGATGCTGCAGAAAAGCCCTGTGAGTAATTTCACTGACTGCTGTTTAATTAAATGTTGCTGTTTTGTTCTACATCACTAAACAATTAAATGTTAAAATACTATGTGAAATATTTTCCTGTCTGGATTATGAAGGCTACAATTAGTTATTGCAGAATCACTGAACATCAGAAAATGCAGAATGACTGAACATCAGAAAATAATCTGTCTAAACATTATTTTGTCAGATTTGACGGCTGTGATCTTGATGAAACATGCTGTGAAACTGTGTCTTCTGCTCTACAATCATCAAACTCTCATCTGACAGAGCTGGACCTGAGTAACAATCACCTGCAGGATTCAGGAGTGAAGCTGCTTTCTGATGGACTGAAGAGTCCAAACTGTCAGCTGCAGATTCTGAGGTATATAAGATAGTCATTTTTATTTTATTTTAATAATATAACATTTCTATATTTGAACTTTTAATTCACATTCACTGAATCACTATGTTCACATATGTGGATGAATAGGTGTTTCATAAGTATAGCTAGCAGATATTTCCCGTCTATACTGTAGTACGATTGTATCAGTGGCATTTTCTTCAAGAATACAAGGCAGGCAATGCCAACTCAAAAAACCTGATGAGAAAACAATCAGGCTTCCCAACCATCCTGGAAAACATGGGATTTTGTAATGCGGTTTTCCAGTTATGAGAATGAAATAATACCTACATTTCTTAATGACTTCTTTGAGCATTATGTTTCAGTGAACTGTTTTAAAAATGTCCCCTTTCCTTATGAATTAGATTACAATAGATTTATTTTCACTTCAT